GTATGACTTGCATACTTCTAATGAGTGCTTTTATTTTAATCCTATTAACACATATATGGATAGTTTAATAGGGAACTTCATCATCAATAAAAATGCATTATATATATCATATCTTGAACATGTATGTATATGTAAGAATTATCAAATATATCTTCATATACCATGAGATTTGCGTCAATATGTAAGGACAATAATAATTGAATATTTGATTGTGACACTTTGTTAATATATTTCTTTACATTAGCATAATCATTCTTTAACATTTTTTCTAGTTCAATAAATGATAGATAATGTGTTTATATGGCTACATGCCATATTTTTTTTTGTAACATAAACTCTATTGACTATAATCTTCAAGATTATAGAAAAATAATATCTTAAATCTAACAATTTCTTTTGAACTATTAGCCTTCAGGGCTGTGGTAGTTAAAATAATTGAATTAATAATTAATATACCCATCAAAATTTCACAAAGTTTATATAATTCATTAGGATCATAAGATTATCCTTTCATATAATAGTCATAATAAAAATCGAGATGACTTCTGGCCATATAATAACAAAATTAATTATTGCTTTTAGTCATATAATCAAAAACAAATCAAATACGGCTTTTGGCCATTCAATCATAAAATTACATACAACTTCTGACAATTTAATGATAAAATTACAAATGGGTTCTGGCCATTCAATAATAAAGTTAAATATGACTTCTAATTATATAATAACAAAAGTCAATATAGCTTCTAGCCATATAATAACAAAATTAAATATGACTTCTAATCATATAATTTATCATGACATAAATTGATCATTTATAAAATAGTAAAAATTTAAAGTGATATGGCTTCAGGCCATAATCAAAATAATATGGCTATTAATAATTTTATTGCAAGAGAATTAATAGAACCAAATAAGAGAAAATAAAAATTATATATATATATAACTTCATGATCTATTTATATTTGTGAACAACTTCAAGATTCACTTTAAATTTTGTGAATATCTTCAAGATCTACTTCATCTTTTATGTGAATAACTTTGGAATCCAATTTATATTTTATATGTATCACTTCATGATTCATTTTATGTTATGGACAGATAACTTCAGGATTCATTTTTCTAAAAATTATATATGTAGATAGCTAAACAAATTATATATAAACAATAAATTAAAAAAATAAGAAATTGAATGCACATAAGATAAATAAATAATTGAATGTAAATATCTTCAGGATTTACATTATATCATGTGGATATATAACTTTAAGATCCACTTTTAAATCCTATGGATATCTTCATGATCCACTTTATATTTTATTTGGATAAAATTAGTATCCATAATAATAGGTAAATAACTTTATGATTTACTTTATATTTTATGTGATAATCTTTTGGATTCACTTTACACTATATGTGATAATCTTCTAGATCCACCTTATATTTTCTATGTGAATAACTTTAAGATTCACTGTATATTAAATATGGATAATTTTAGAATTCACTTTATATTAGATATGGATAACTTTTAGATCCACTATTTTGAAAATAAATTGTGCCTCATACTTCTAGATGTGAAACACAGTATGTAATTATTTGATTGATTGAGGGAGGAAGAAAATAATTGAACAAAAAATAAATTCAACAAATAACATAAATAATAAGAGCACGTGAATGATAGAGATTTGCTTCATATTTAACTGACTATGCCTCCATCTCTATTAAAGATGTTCATTGGCATGAGCATTAATCTCTAATTCAATAATTATAAGGGCACTCACCTGGTGTTGCTAAGAGTAGAGCTGTCATACTAATAACGTTTTATGAAAATAGAGATTGAGAGAAGGAGAAAAGAGAGAAAATTAGACTAAAAGAATAAGAGAATAAAGAGCTTTCTTATTTTTCAATTTGTAAAATACAATTGAGGTGCCTTCTATTTATAGGCACAAATATATCAATTAAAATGAATAAAATATACAAGATAATAATAACTAAAAGATATTATAATAATTAAAAGATATTGAAAAATTTGATATAACAGACATTCACATGATATGTTAATATTCATAACAGATTAGTTATATTGGAAGAATTTGAATCTGGACACTATTCACATTTCATCTCACCATGCCACCTTTGTGGTGCGCAAGAAAATGATCTTCTTCTTCTTCTGTACAATGCAATAATCATTTATCTTATATTAGTCTTCTTCTTTTTTTGCCCTTATTTTTTTTTTTTTGGGTAAACTACTATCTTCCGTCTTTAGTATATAGTACTCTCAACTATTTCACTAAAATCAAGATATAATAGTTAATATATAAAATATGTCTTAAAAGGAAAGAATTTTTAAACTTCACTCTTATTAAAAGTAGAAAGCAGGGCGTGTGTAGAATATTGGAGACCTAAGAAACAATTATTATATAGGCTCGGCGTGTTATAATTTATAAATTGTATAATTTTCATTAAGATTAGGTTTTACATTATTTTAATAGCAGCTTGTCAAAAAAATTATTTCAATAATTTTTTTTTGAATTTCAAAACATATGCAAAATCATTTTTTCATATAACTTTCTCATCAATGAGTGATAAGGTTTTACTAATAAAAAAAATAACATTATAATATATATTTCCAATATATTATACTACAATTAAGATCATGATATAATTAATTTATAAGAGAAAATATCAATAAATTTCTTATATAAATAATTTTTTTATCAGGCCTAAGGCAATTGCCTTAATGCCCTAAAGGTTTACAGCCATGGTAAGAAGAGAGGAATACATGATATATAATAAATCATAAAATTAAATTTACAATAAGGTAAAATTATAAAATAATAATAAGTAACCCTTTATGCACCTTATGTGAAGGGCCAAATAGTTCTCATAAAAGGTTCTCTGTAATGGAAACTTGAAAGAAATATGTAGTAGTCATTTTATAATGATCTTAGTATTTTTTTTTTTATGTAACCATGATTAACTCTTTGTTATTAAGTTATTCCTTCCGTCTTTATATATAAAATATTTTCTATCAACTTATTTTGTCTCTAAATGTAAGGTGTGACAATGATATTTTTGAATAATTAGACAATTTTACCCTTATTTTGAAAAATGAAATAGATCATTAATTGTATATTTTTCCTACCACCATCATGATATTAATTATGATATTATTAAGAGTAAAATCAGAAAATCATTGTGTTTTTATATGAGTTTAACCAAATAACAAACTTTTATTGACGTGCGAGATTCGATTAAAAATACCTTATAAATAGGAACGGAGTGAATATGTTGGAGGTATTTTTATCCAAAAATGTTATATTAGGGATATAATGTAGGTTTTAATTTTAGAATGTGTGAAAGAACTCCTGAAAAATTATTTAAGGTTAAGGTGATCTTTATATAATATATTTTACAAAATCTTATGAGTAACTAATGTTATTATTCTTTCTAAAATGCTCATGAAAAATGAATAAAAAGATTTTGTCTGCTTTATTGTACTTCAAATATGATTACTTTCAATAAAAAAAATACATGCACAGTAAAAAAATTTAAAAGATGCAAATTATGAGTAATAATTAAGGGCATGACTGAAAACATGAAATCAACTTTGAGAACTGGACTAATTTTAGTTTTTTTAGTATGTGTAAGTTAGGTAAATTTTTCTTGTACTTAGTAATGTTTAGAGTAATCTGCATTTTGGAAGCCAAAAACATCAAGGTAAAGCATAGATGATTATGTGACTTTGTCAGAGTTGCATACTTAATTAAAAAATTAATAATTTTTTAAACAATAATAACTTAATAATTAAAAAAAGCATAAATAGATTGATCTTCATTTTTCTTTTTAAAAATTATATTAAACAAGTTGATATGGTATTTTATATAAATATATTTTTTATATCTTATCTCCATAATTAAAATATTACATATCTAATAAGTTTTTAAGTTTAAATATTTTTTATTTAGTCTAAAGGATGCAAAATAGCAATAATATGAAATGTAAAGTTATAAATTTTATATACTTTACTTGTAATTTTTTTTTAAAGTGAGGGGTGGCATTTGCATCATCTCAACATAATATAGCTCTGCCACTTAGTAAGACTAAATCAGAACAAGTAAAGTTGCAAAGACTGAATTAATGGCATTAAATTTTTTGATCTAGCGTAAAGCTCCAAATTTCCACTATTAATATTTTTTAAATGTTTTATGTTCTCAAACTTAACTCAACAAAAGTATAAATGATGATAATTAAAAGATTGGTGGTAAATAATATTAAAATATTAGAAGTAATTTTAAATTTTAGAGGATATACCTTAGATTTTATTAAAAAATAATTATTCTTTTCGGTGAACTAAAAAGAAAAGGTAAATATGCGCTTAAGATTATTTAAAATGTCAATATATAAGGTAATAATTTCAAATTTTATGCATAAAAGTAATCACATTAGATACATACTTGTATATTGTATACATGCGGTGAATGTTTTATTTATTTTTTTTTTGAGTGAAAAGGAAATTCATTAAATAAAACTATACATGTAATATGTATAAGAAAGTGAAAAGAAATTATATCATGCTTTTAAAGAGTAAAAAAGACCTATAAATTTATCAACAATCAAATTTTTGAAACAAAAATCAGATATCACATATTTACATGTCAAATATTAACCAAGTAGCTCTAACGAAATCAAAACCTAACATCTCTAAATTAGTATTTCTTTGTTTTTCTAACATATTAACATACAAATTTGTTTAGCCACCACTTAACAAAAGTATTATTTTCAACTTACAAATCCTCCACATTCTTTCTTCTATATATAATTTATTCAAGTCCAGGGATTTTCTTCATGTGGAAGATCCAATAGTCCCCATTCACAAGGACAGAGAACCGAACAGCAGAGAAGAGAAGAAAAGCAATATAATAATGAAGAGAAACTAGACGTTGGAGAAAAAGCTTGCTTGCTTGCATCACTGATTCAATCTTTGTGGGCCACTCAGAAAAAGAACCAAGAAAAGAAAGAATGGAGCCTTTTATGTGATTTGGTTTTGTCTTTCTTAGATTCAGAAGTATGAAAAATCTAGAAAGAGTCGTTTTTTTTATTATATATATATATATATATTTATATATATGTATATCGTGTGTGAAAGAGGGCGTTTCTTTCAAATAATTTGAAGAAGTGTGCGCATAGGAGCCAAAGGGATTCTTCGTTTCTTTGAGTTTTTGTTCTTCGTCATTGAATGATGGGTGAATCGACTTGTCTTCTTCGATCCTTCTCCAATGCCACTGACACTCCCTCTTGCGTGGCAAAAGAGGTGAGCAATGCATCAAGTTTTCTTTCGAAATTTCTTGATTTCTAGGCGTGATGCTCAAATTTCTGGACAATTATTTTTGTTTTGCATTACAAATCCGTTAATAGTGTCTATTGGATTCAGTGCTTGGTTTTGATTTGCCGGTTAGTTTGGTTGCCGAGAAACGGCCGTCTGTTTTGTGTTTGGTTAATGAGAAACCGTTCTGAAACGAGAACCTGGCATGTCTGCAACTGCTTTGCTCATTCTGATTTCGCGGCATTTTAGATTTTCACTCTTTCTCAGTGATCCTGGTTCACCTTTCCTTCTTCGGGGTAAAAATCGGAACTAAAAACTTGGAATTTGATGTCTGCGGTGTATGTTCCTGTTCTTACTAAGCATGCCTATACCAAATTTTTCAAGACGTGTCCTACTCTAATATTAATGCGTTTATTGTTATAATTTCAGGTAGATTCCGTTCGTTTGCTTGGAGAATCGATCTCTTTTGGGAGGTATATGTCGGAGAGGCTGGATTGGGAGAAGTGGTCGGTTTTCTCCCACAATCGCTATGTAGAAGAAGCTGAAAAATTCTCCAAACCAGGTTCTGTTGCTGAGAAGAAAGCGTACTTTGAGGCTCATTACAAGAAAAAGGCAGCTCAAAAGGCAGCAGACTCGGTCCAAGAAGCGGATATGTTGGTTAATGAAACTTTTGAGTCTGAAACTCGGGATGGGAACTGCCATAACTCATCTATTCAGATGAAATCAAAAGAGAACAGTAATGTGACTGCCATTGAACAGCATGAGAAATATGCCATTGGTTATGCTGACACAAATGAAGATAAACGTCATATACAACAAAGTGAAGGAGACATTTCGAAGATGGAATTACGGAAGGATATGGCTCAACCTCTAGTTGATAGTCATAAATGGGAAACTTTTGTTGTAGTTGATAATTCTAACCAGTTTGATAATGTTGAGAAGGTTGCAGTCCCCAGAGAAGAAAAACCGTGTGATCCGGTATTTTTTGTTTTCTTTCTATGTTTATGTTTGATTTCCTTTAATGAGTAAATATCGTGGCCTCCTCACAAACTCTTCTTGTTGTTGCTTCAGGGTAATTCGGGGCAAATTGAGGCAAGAGAAGTAAAGTCTTCTCCAAAATCGTCCAACAAAGCTAAAGTATCCAAACCTTTGCATTCTCTTGCAGAGAGGAAGGCTACAGCACAGCCCAGAAATAGAATAAGCAGTATTCCACACAGAAAAAGAGCTGTTGGAGGCTTGGCTGAAAAGAAGAGACTATCAACAAAGTCACTTCACATGTCAATCAATCTTCCTTCTTGTACTGGTGAAACAAGCAAAACAGCCTCAGTGCCGCAACAGAACATAATGAAAAGGATCAATTTAAATTCTCCTAATGTTTCAAGGGATCAAGCAGTTGCACCGCGGACATCAGTTAGGGTATTCACTTGACCCTTTTTTTTTGCCAAAATGCTTCTGTTACCAGAAAAGTGTGTGGATTGCTAACATTTTTTCTTTTTTTCTTGTTTTTTTTTTTTAACTGCAGGCAATCCGTGATATATTCAATCAAGCTTCAATGAATCATCAGTCTGAGGGTAGAAGGTATTTTGTTATCTGAATGTACTTCTCAGTGCACCAAAATTCTCTATTGAGCTTCCATTGCATTGCATAAATATCTTTTTCACATGTTCTGATGGATCTATGTTAGGACTGAAAGACTACTTAATAAGTCAGTGTGTAAAGGAATGACTGCAAGTGTTGAGCTATCCTCCCCTTCTGTTGTGTAAGTTCATCTTACAATTTTCTATAACTGTTCAAGTTTGTGCACTTTACTGATTGCCATGTAAAAAGACTCTCTTGTTGTTACTTCTTGAGAACAGATGCCCAAAATCACCAAGCACAAGGCTTCCACAATCTTTGACCATATCATCACCTTTCCAATTCAGAACTGAAGGAAGAGTAGCAAAACGCAAAGAGGCAATTTCTTATCCCTGGCCAATAGTTAATATCTTTGCAATTTTTGCTAGCACTTGTGGTGACACTTTTTTTCCTATTTGTATTCCAGTTCTTCCAAAGGATGGATGAAATCAAATTGAAGGAGGTGGAAAGAATGCAGCTGCAAAGGAAATGCAAGGTGGATTTCTTTGGAATGCTACTGCTGATATTGTGATTTAGGAGTTTCTACTGTGATGCATGTAGTTTATTACTGGTTTTTTTTTTTTTTTTTTTACTTTTCCTATAACGGGAAATGACTGGAGGGAAATTGCAGAAAACAATGAAGTTTGTATGGCATTATCTAAATAACGAATGCTTGCGTATATATTCCCATGACTTCCTGATAATGACTTTTAAGGGCATTTCTCGTATTTAAGAAACAGGATCCAGGTACTCCTGTGCATGGTTGATAAATCGCTTTCTTTTATCGTGGTCATCCTTTCAGGAGAAAACAGAGCATGATCACAAGAAGTTGCAGCAGTGCAGTGGCTTTAAACCTAAACAAAAGGAGGACAAGAATGGTGGACTTCAATTGCCAAATAATGAGATGAAAAAGGTATTTTGCCTTGCTACTTGTATGATGCTGGCGTAAACATTTTGGACTGAAAACCGTGAAGGTTTTGAAAGATGCTTTTAATATTTTTCCTTTCCTTAAATAACTGTCACGGTGGAGGCTGTGAATACAAGATTGAAAAAACTTGCTCCTTGTCAAGCAGCTTTCTTAGTACAGACGGAAAACTTTACAATCATGTCAGTCATCCTGCTTCCTTCAGGTTCCCTGATCTGTGTTAGGAAATATGCAGTTTTCTTGGTGCTTGTTATCAAATTTTTTAATTATATCATACTGTGTGAACATTTTTTACAATCTAGTACTTTATCATTGAATGCTTCGTAGAAAAAAGTTCTCAAATGTTTTTCCATCAAAAAACCTTGTAGCAGTTACCCGAGGTTCTGACCTTTCTTGTATGATCTTCTTTCCTAGTCGGAGATGCCTTTTGTTTTTCCATAGATATCTGATTTTGTTCATACTTGTCTTTTTATTTGGTAGATGTTCTGCTTCTAATTTTCTTTTCTTATTTTTCTAAACTTGTTTTTTTGCAGACATCACTAACACACTCTCAGTCACCAAATCCTGGAAGCAAAGCAACTTCCAGCACATGGCACAGCAAAAACTCACGAAACTCTTGGAGGCCACCCACCGGTATCAGTACTCCTAAACCTGTTACAGAGAAAATGAACCAAACAATGAGGGGATCAATCACTTCACTATCAAAAAAGGTCAGACAAGAGAATACTCCTCCAAACATTCAGCCTCGAGAACATGAAAAAAGAGACTTCCTTATACAAGCATGTGTTTCAAGATCACTATGTCAAAGCCTGAGTTCTTCTCAATGATTGTTACGGGCTTACGATTTGATTCTGCTGGAATGATTAGACAGGAGTTTATGCTGTGGTTTTCCCACAATTTGGAGTAAGATCTTTTAGTCCCTGTCTGTTGGGGGTATTTGAGAAGTTGCATGCTTATAGTTGCGTATAAGTTTTGATGAGTTTTGGCCTTGGATCATTCTGTAATTAAAAGTGTAAAGGAGACAAGGCATTTAGATTTGCATCCTCCTGTGTGATGTAATATAGTCGTATGAAGATAAATATAGACAGGTTTATATGTTTAGCCTATCTTCTTCTCACATTCATAATAAGATCATCTCTGCGCTTGGCAGGAAGGAGCTTCTTGCCATGAAGATGATATTGAATGGAGATTCTTCCTTGATCACTTGAATTATTAAGACACTTTCGTTACTATTACAGAAACTATGTCACATGATTAAAAAGGAAATGACTTCTTGATAGTCATATTGAATTGCAATTAAATCATGATGACAGCTTCAAAATTTTCAATACACTAGATTTTATAGGAAGGACATGTCCATCTGGGAGAGTAATGGTCTTGATAAACAGCTACTATGAAACAATGAAGTTGAGGATCTTCATCACCCAATTCTAATTCTATACATACTTGCCAGATCCTAGTTGAACGGGGAAAAAAAATATCCCAATCCTCACAAAGTAGAAATTCTTAGATACGACTATTACCCAAGAATTACAAGTAACTTTCATTAGTCATTTCACGCAAGGAGGTGAATTATTTGTTGAAAAGACATAAAAGGGAAGGTTCAGATCATGCTATGAAAAGGCCTTGATCTACTGCCGAAAAATCAGCTGTATCAAATAAATGAACAGGAACTTCCCCGGTGAGTCCTGGATCATAATACTCTGGCATGTCTATGTTCTGCTGCCCAGAGTTCATACAGCGTTCACCTTGTAGCCAGAAGGATTTCAAGTCCTCCTCCAAAGGGGCAGAAGCAAACTCACCTCCCAAATGTAGGTTTGGTTGGTGAAATTCCAGGTCAGAAACAGATTTAAGATTAAAGCCCTCTGTTTTCCCACTGAGATTTGGAGTAGAAACGGGTTCTAAAGTTTGATCATTCCCCATAAAGCTCTTGGACTTTATAGAAAAGCCATCTGCACTTCCTATGGAACTAACAGAACTGGCATAATCGCTGGTGTGTTCAACATACGTAGGGTTGGTTTCAATACAGGCAGCAGTTTCTCTCTCCATTACAGGTGGGTTAGATCTAATTGAAGCATCTTCTTGTGATTGATCAATTTTGATGAGATGCTGCCTACCATGTAATGGCAAGTGGCTGAAGTGATCCTTAATTGGAAGATATGGCTGGTGTTTTTTGAGTTGCATTTCTGGGAATTCCCTCCAAGGGTTGGCGCAATCAAATGCTGCATAGCTTCCTTCTGAATCTGGAGGTGCAAAAGACTGATCATTGACCTTCCGTGGACTCTTTCTTATTTCTGTATCTCGAATGTTAGCAGTCAAGTCTTCTTTTTTATCCGTCAAAGCCTCTGAAACGATTCCTTTGAGATTACTTTCGAGATTTATTGTATCCGCATTCTGAAGTTGTATAGCTCCATCTGCATATTTATGGCTGTCAATTGAAACATCATTTTGTTGCCTGTTCATTGGGTTCTGAAAAGAGAAACTTCCCGCAGGATCTTCTGAAACTAAATCCGAATGCTGAATCCCACTAGAGGAGGGATTCTTATCTCCAGCCTTCTGTAACCTACTCAGGTACAGCCGGTATTTCTGCAAAACAATATTTTCTCCTCAATGAGATCCCATGAGTTTTAAAATCAATGGTTCGGTACAAAACATGCTCTCTTTCCCTTTTTTCTTTAGTTTACAGAGATTCAGCTTTTTTTTTTTGAAAACAGGATAAGCTTTTTTAGTAGTGGTGCTTCCGTAAAATATTAATAATTGTCAATAGTGGAGGTTGTCACATCCTACAGTATCATGTGGGAACCCTCTACATTCTTGGCCTACCGTGATCAACATTTTTGCAGACATTATCACATGCATAATTAGAAATGTTACGGAACCCAGATATTTCTGAGTCAAAATGTGATAACAGTTTCTTTCTCTCTCTCTTTTTCACAAGACAGCTTCTTTTTCTATAGTCTCTAAATAGCATCACTGAAACGACATAAAATCCAAAATTTTACCTGCAAGTGACTAGCAACATTATCCCGAGTCAACCATGGAACATTCATCAAATCAAGTATTTTCTTGGGACCAACTTCTGCGAAACAGAAGACGTATGTTACAAATGCTCCCACACTTGATAAACATGATGACTACATTAAGGAAAAAAAAAAGGATAAGGCGCTGATTAAGTGGTCAAACTAGAAACAACTTTTTTCCCCGTGTGTGCTTGGCAGAGGAGGTCGTATAGATTTTATTAGTCATTGTGATAAGCAGTGTTCACACTTTATACAGGAAATTCATTAAAAACTTACTATCAAATCCAAGCTGATTCACAGCCTTGACAAATTTCTGATGAAGATCTACAGACCAAACTACTCTGGCTTTCTTTGTGGAAGATTGATCTCTAAATTCCTTGTTATCACGTTTGCTACCCAGGTTTTTCCTTTTCTTCGTTGAGGTCATATCTTCTATAGCAAATAAATTCCCATCATCAAACTGATCTGCTCCATTTCTCATCAATTGAAAGCCCTCAAGACCCCCAAATTCTCTTGCCTCGCGCATCCTTTTTCTTAACACATGTTGCCATATATTTCGCAGCTCTTTCATCCTTATAGGCTTGAGGAGATAATCACATGCTCCATGCTGAACGCCCTTCATCACCCTCCTTGTTTCTCCATCCACAGACATCACTGCACATCACATATTTAGTCAGAGCATGAACTTTGAACTTTCACTTAAAGAGAGAGTTGAATATGTTATTGACAGAGAACTGACTAATGACAGGAAGATCCATCTCAAGTCCGACTTGCTCGAGAAGTTTGAAACCGTCCATGTCCGGCATGTTTACATCGCTGATCACAATGTCATATCCATTTTTCCTTTCACGAAGCAAGTTTAGAGCCTCTCTTGCTAAACAACATGTAGTCACTGAAAAAAATTAAAGAAAAATGATAATGTCGTAATGAAATATGAGATTGGCAACATCAAAACAGAGCATACAAAACAATCAAGGGATGTCCTTCCCTTCCAAAATTCACTTAATGAAAATATAAGACATTTTTTTAGTGCCTAATAGAAGAGAAGAGGATACTGTTAGCAGTTTATTGCTTCTGTGCAAAGAGGATACCGTAGCAGCGTATAGTTTTTGTAGAGCTTACAGACTAGACTACAGAGCCGTCTCTAACGAAAGTGGAGCAATCCAGAAAGTGGAATCAAAGAAGAGAAACAAAATACTCAAACTCCAATCGCAATCAATATTCAACAATGAAAGGGATAATGCCTACAACTGACAAAAGGCTTATGTATAAAAGAAAGACACGGCGGAGTTATGTCCAACCAGCATCTCTGGTAACATAAAAATTGTACCAAAAAAAAAAATTGTGAACAATGATCAAATCATCTTTGCAATAAAACTCTGGAAAAAAAAGTCGTTAAAACACTACTTTTTGTCAAGTGACATGAACAAAAAATTACGATAAAGATAAAAATATTTATAAATTTACAGCAAAGAATTTTAATTTCAAATTATTTTAAATGGCTAGAAAACTTTAAAAAAATTAATAATTGTACTGAAAAATATATAATCGAGAATTTCAAGTCAATTTTTTTATTTTATTTAAATATAAAAATGTTTTTCTCCTTCAGCAATAACTGTCATATATACAAGTATTGAACAAACCCACGCCGCAAACTGGAAGGAATGGGATCCACCGATTTTCCATTTCCAACCCATCGAACAGCATTTTGATAATTTTCCTCCCGATTCCGAACTGCCCCAAATTACAAAACCCAAATTCTTAAATAACAATCAACGTTCCATATTGTAACTAATAATAAACTTGTGAACATCTCTTTTGTTTTGTTTTGATTTTTTTCCCCTTCGTAAATGTAAACATCTCTTTTGATGCTACATTGCAAGGACTTGCGGAAACAATAGAACCCTAAGCGCACAATTTGACATAATCCGGCGGCTCCATTCAATTTCTTCATCTTCAAAAAGCAAGCTTCGTTCCATAAACGATGGGTTTAACAAGTAAAACACTCAAACAAACCAACATACATATAAAACCCAGGAAAACCGGGTGGAATCAACATCTAAGCAGTCTTATTCATAAACATAAACAATTAAACACAAAACTCAACCTGAGCACGAAGACTCCCAGTACATGGGGAAAGAAGTGATGTGAGGAAGGAAAAGGAAAAGAGCCAACAAACCTTCGTAAGAGCACTTCTTGAGCATCTTCTCAATAATCGCGAGCCATGTCAAATCGTCGTCGACGACGAGAACTCGGAGACCAGCCGGGAAAGAATCGCATCGAGAAGATAACGCATTATTATTCATATTTACTGAGCTAATTAAGTACCTGAGAAGAAGCACGGATGGTCACTACGAATTCTCCAGGTTTTCAGGAAACAGAGAGAGAGAGAGAGAGAGAGAGAATCTGCAAAATAAGCGCTCAGTAGCTGAAGCTGAAAGCAGAACCTGAAAATACTAGTACATATATCCTCTGTTTCTCCTATACACTAGTTCAATTTCTGAGCAGAAAAGGAGGACAAGCGAAGCGGTCCTTATAGAATCTGAAAGGTGTCATGACGGGAAATTAGAGGAAAGGTGAATTCGAAGTCCTTTCCACTGTGAGGATGCGCAAGTTGAGGCATCGAAAAACCACACAAAGTGATCTGAGCAAATAGTTTCTCAATCACAACAAAGAGAGAGAAACAGTGATCTTCCACTCACTTCAGGAGTTACCGCAATCCTCGTGCCCAAACGCAACTCGTAAGTCATAACTGATAATCCAAAAACCATAAGGTAATTATTGGAATCAGTCACTGTTACACGTGAGACTATGAGTCAGCTTCGATATTGGGATTATATGTGTGTGTGTGTGTGTGTGTGTGTGTGTGTGTGTGTTGGGAATCAGTTTATTATTGGGACAATCTCGTCTAAGGCGCCTAAAAGAAGAAAAATTTTCTTACGTGATCGCTATAATCTGATAATGCTCTGTAGGCTCCAAGGACTCATATACATGAATTTTCAATTTAAAATGACTGAACTGCATTGATGATTGAGAAGAAAATACACACTAGAAATATATTGTTGTTAATTTGTTTTGGCCTTTTAGTCTGGTATTTCCTTCTCAGTTATTACTGGTAATTCAGTTATTATTGAAAAAATTTTGGGCAAGACTCGTGCATTACCTTATTTGTGGTTTATCCAATTAAAAAAAAATCTCAAATCATCTAAATAAAATTTTATATAACATTATTTTAATTAATTTTATTTTTATAATAGTATGCATATTTAATTTTTTTACAGTTTTTTCTCTTTATTATTATTAATATTAAAATTAATTTATATTTAATATCATCTCAATATCATGTTTTTATTAGATAAATTATGAATGACATAATGTCCTAGACTTACTTAAAGATTTCTCTTACAAATTGACTGTAGATGAGTCCTGCAAATATGGAGATATTATCATATTACAATACGGCCTATGGAGAAATTTTTTCTTTTTATGGGGTCAATGGACGCGATTCTCCCTTTATTATTGCAAAGATAGTTGATGGGCTAGTTGAGTGATGTATTTGAGATAATAATAATAATAATAATAATATTGGTCCAGACTCACACTCATCAGTCTGACGCTGTTTTAGGTGAAAATTTTAGGTAATGTTTCGATGCTGATATAATAGACAAGTTAATGGTCAATTTTAATCAAGTTAAAATGATTGTTCAGGGATTAAGAGTTTTGTCGTGTAACATGAATGAAATGATAAGAGGTGGATTGAGACTTTCTTGTATTTTTGGTAATTTCATTTTCATCCAATTCTAAAGTTGCATCACAAATCTCAAATTAAATCAAAAGATGTTTGGAGCTAGTAAAGTTGATACTTCTTCCATTTAAAAATATAAAGTATTTTTTAAAAAATTGAATGTTTAAAAATATAAAGTATTTTTAATTTTTTAAGGTATAATTTTTCTCTTTTTTTTTGCAAAAGTGGCCTTATTGATAATGACTTTATATTTATTATAGGGTGTTTAATAAAAATAAATATAAAAAATAAGATTAATTTAAAAATAAATAATTATTTTATTAAATAGTGAGATTCATTTAAAAATGGAGGGAGTATGTTCTTTTAGAGGTTAACTGTTTATTGCAATTCATATTACAACCCTTGCGCGTACATAAGCTCCAAATAGCTAAGCTGGTTACATTTGAAAAAATAAAAAAACCTAGTTAGCTAAATTGGCATAATAGAAATGGAATAAGGGGAAGGGAATTGAAAGGAGAAGTTAAAAAAAAAATGGAATTTTATGAACGATAGAAAAAAAAGATTGTTTGATAATATGTAACGTATTTTATTTTAATTAGAGCGTCCGGTATTATGGACCTTTCCCATATCAAGGTAAGAAAATTTAAATGGAGTTAAATTAATTGAATCAAGTTGGAACCAAACATTTTTAGGCAAATGCTATTACATTTTTAGAATTCAATCTCAAGAATTCTAGTTAAATTAACACAACTCTCATACATGTTGAATTAAGTATCTAATGGTTAAAGATGCAATGCACTTTCAAAGGAACATAATCTTCTCACATTTGAGGGATGTTTTTTCTCTTTAAGAATATTCCGTTTGGTCCTTAATGTAAAACAAATTTAACTAACTTCACATTTATTAAAAAATTATAGTTAATAACCATAATATGTTGTTTTTTGATAATTCAAATGATAATAAATAAATAAGAGGTAAAATTAAAAAAATATTAATTGCTTTAACATTGCTTCCAAGAGTAAAGGGAAAATTCCTTCCAATTAAATTGCTATCTATAGCAAAGATTTAAACTCTTAACTACTTATTTAAGTGACAAGAACCTCTACCATTCACCTAACTTTGAGTTAGTTGTTGTTAGTGTCAATTTAAGATTTCTTATCCAAGGTTTTTTTTTTAATTTCATCTTATCATTATTAACAGCATCCAACAACTCTAATTTTTGGAAAAATCTCACTTAAGGCTCCTAAAACACAAATATTTACATTTAGGATTCAATAAAATCTAAAAGCGCACTGTAAGTTTGAGGGCTTTTTTTACAAATTTTATTGTAAACAAAAAGACACATTTGCCCTTGTTTCAATAGAATGTCCATGTATAAATAATACGATATCCTCAAATTCTTAATACAATGTTCATAAATGCACAACACATCTAATAAATATGATTTAACTTAAAATAAGATGTACAAGCAAGCAAAGGATTAACAACACAATATTCATAAATACACAATACAATGTCCATCAATTCTCAAAAATAGTGAACATATGCAGACTTGTAATATTTGTACAGTATAAAGTTCCTAATAAACAACATATTTTCATTGAAGCAACATATTTTATATTAATATCTACCAAATATATTGTGCATTTATAAATATTATATTAAAAATTGATGGGTATTCTATTGAGACTAGGGCAAATTCATCTTTTTGTTCACAATTTTTTTTTGCAAAAAAAGCCCTTAGGCTTACAGTGCTTTTTTAGATTCTATTGAGCCGTAAATACAAATTTTCATGTTTTAAAGGCCCTAAGTGAGATTCTCCCCTAATTTTTTTTTCTTGCATTGTGTGCATTATTAGATTAGATTCTTATTTGTTTAGATTATTCTTTCTTGGTGATCATTATTTCTTCTTCCTCCATTTGGATCATTGGATTGGATTGAAATTTTTGTGTCTATCTTTTTTGTTGGTTCAATATTAGATTGTGAATGCATTTAATTCCTTGTTCAACCCCTTCTATTTTTGTGGAATGTCTATTTGAATTTTCTTCTTTCATCTTCATTCCCATTTATTTTCTTGGTCAATATTTAGAGGTCTCTAATTGCCATTTTAAGAAAGGGCAATTAGAGTTTGACCCAACAAAACAAAGGACAATTAGAGACCACTAAATAAATTTTGGCGTCATGAGCTGTGCTATGATGGATGTCTTTCACATCCACCATAAACAAAGTTCGGTTTTTTTTTTTTTTTGATATAATAAAACAAAGTTAGGTTGATTTCAAAGCCTTCAAGGATGACAGTCTTGTGTTTAAAGTTGGGAAAAATATTCTTATTATCAATCTCTAATAAGAGTATAAAGAGAGTATATATTGACACTTTTAATTGCTTCCTCCACCTCAATTTATAAAATATTTTTTACAAAATTATACATACGAATAAAATTTATTTAATAGACTTTACCGTTTTACTTTTTTTTTATAGATTTACAAAAATACTCCTTTTATCTTTTATAAGATATGTTTAGATAAAATTATAAATGTCAACAAAAGTCATTTACTATGCTTCATAATTTTATTTTTTTTAACAAAAAATATAAACTTTAAAAAGTTCCTGTCATTTAATACTTGATTTGTAAACAAATATTAGATAGAGAATACAATAAAAATGGTAATATTAAAAAATATTATTAATAAAATTTTACTTTTATCAAAGTGTCTTATATTTTAAAAAACCGAATTTCATTCAAAAGAATATTATAAATTAGGATTGAACGAGTATTATTCATTAATAGGAGAAGGGGAAAGAAATATATTTTAGAACTGAAATGATAAGAGATAATATTGAGATAATTATCATTCATGAAATCTTATTTATTTACAAAATATTTTACATTTTGAACATCAAACCATCTTCAAAAGTATGACAAAGAGAGTACTTCGCATCGATTAAGGCATTAAGAAAAGTAATTATTAATTAAAAGTGATTGGTATAATTGAAATGGTAGAAAAAAATCACTACTGTTCGAAATTATCTTTCAATTAAAATTAATTTATCTTAATTACCTTTAATTTGTTTATTATACAATCTCTTTACAATACAATTAACAAGAGCATTTGTGGGTAAAAAGAATTTAACGTTATTAACATTTTACAAAAGTATCATAGACATTGGACCGATACTAACGATAGAAAATGTCATATATTTTAAATTGAAAGGATTACTTTTTTATTTAGAGTATTTATTATAGACAAAGATGAATACTTAGATAACTTCTAGATAATTTTAATAATGTAATGAATTCGTCTTAATTATGATGAAATAGTTAAAGGTTATATTAAAAACAGGAGTAATAGTTAATGAAGGGAACTTTTTCGTGGCTAAAGGAACAAAATGGATTTGAATTTGGTTAGTAACATAAGTTCACTTATTTTATGAATATTTTAATTTTAATCATTGGATCTTATTAATATTTAAAAATTATCAAAATATATTTTTATTAAAAAATTAAGATAATTCTCACAATTAGAACACTCCTTACATAAGTTGTCTCTTCCAAAAATTAAATTTTTTTTTAATATTATATACTAAAATCTTTATAGTCATTTAATAAAATTGAATAATAATTATCATATTATGTGAGACACTGAATGAGAAAATGTGGAGCACTCGAATCCAAATTCAAAAAAATGGAGTATTGATGCTTGATGCTAAATTTAAGGGGAGTTTTTTGTTTTTTTAAAAAAAGGAAAGATGAAAAACTTGAAATTTTGTCGTGAATGTCAAGACATTTTGGGTGGAAATGCACGTGGAGACCATTTGGAAAAGATATTTTATAGAGCAATGGTTGGATAAGCCCAAGAGGCTGAACACCACTCGAACTTGGGAACCCAACTTCAATTTCATTGGGTTTAGGAAAGTAACTTATTTATTGTTATTTTTTAAAAAAAGTATCTTAAATATTTCCCACTTTTTAAATTATAGAGTATAAGATAATTTGAAACAAATTTATACATACCAATAAA